CGTGTGTGGCTACGATAGTTTGATGACACAATGATATACACTACTTTTCAGCGTGTTACATTATGCGTCCCCTCATTTATACTCTGATTTCAACAGAAACATGTCAACGTGTCATATGCTTTGAGTACAGCCTGATACATGACTGAATATGTTTTGTAATTTACAGTCACAACGACAGAAACCACCACCCACGAGGTAACTTCTACTCTACCAACAACTACATCGTTATCTACAAGCAAACCAGTTCCAAGTACTACATCTTCAACTGTAATAACTACTGAGAAGACAACACCAGAGGGCATCACAACCACACGTGTTATGACAAGTAAGACACAAAACTTTTCACTCTTCACAATACACTTACCTACCAAGTAAGTAAGTAAGTAAGTAAGTAAGTAAGTAAGTAAGTAAGTAGTAAGTAAGTAAGTAAGTAAGTAAGTAAGTAAGTAAGTAAGTAAGTAAGTAAGTAAGTAAGTAAGTAAGTATGTTGTGTAGTATAAATGAATGTTATGTTTACACTCAATTCGTTGAAATCAACACAACATTGTTTATTGATATCAATATATGTCATATGATTGAAGTCCGTCATTCTGTTTTCAATAGCAACTGGATTTATGACATCTGAATCAGGTGAGTTTCTTTATATATTCTTTATGTATTTGGTATAACTGTATTGGAACTGTTAAATTTTGTCAGATGTGTAAATAATATCTGCATAGGCAATGAAATGTTTAGCAATAGTTATTACGTTAATGTACTAAATTTTTGTTCCAGAAAACAATGCAAACCTCGACTTGTCTTAAATTTGGTTAAACTAATTGTATGTAGTAAAGGTAATTCAATTTAACCATACGTTTATTTAGTTCCAACAGTAGTAGAAAGTACATCAACTGTAGTGAGTACTCCTGAAGGCACAACTACGGAAACTGCTACTACTACTTATGGTCTTACGAGTACATCTACCGGGACAAGCACCGTAGAAGCGACAACAATTGAAAAATCCACTACAGAAGGAATGTCTACATTCAGTGGTAAGTGCAATGTCATTACGACATCTGTGAATAATAATTGACAACTCAATTAAGAGATTGATACGATGTTGCCCAGCTAAAACTCGATTTAACTTAATTAGTCGTTTGTTTTATGTAAATAAATATCTCCACGTGATTTCGCGCACAGTTTTTTATTACATTTATTGTTTTATCGAGTTACAGAGGCGCAAACAACTGAAACTACCATTTCTGTTCCTTCAACTGCATCACAACCAACAACCAATCGAACCACATTACTGTCAAGTACAACGCAGTCAACAACCGGAGAATCTACTTCAACCACAGAAATAACGACGACTCAGATAATTACAACTCAGATTTCAACAACTGAATATATACCGAGTTAGTAATATGAATTGTGTTTTGAACTTAAGAAATAAATTATTCTGTGATATATACGTACGTAGTGGAATGTTGTGAGTTGATTAATTAACGTATTTATTTGATATACACCTATTATTTTACAACAATTCAATACATATATTTTATCAACAGACTGCAATAAGATGTGTAACTGTGACGTAACA